TGCTACTGTAACCAAACTAAACTACTGTAATCAGAGCTAAACTACTGTAACCGGACTATGCTACTGTAACCAGAACTAAACTACTGTAATCAGAGCTAAACTACTGTAACCAGACTATGCTACTGTAACCAGAACTAAACCTAGACTACACTAGTGTAAGCTGACTGTAACTGTAAGTAGTGGTTCTAGCTGATCACCTCTGTAGAGACCCGTCGTCCAGCCGAGATCGTAGGCGAACCGTGAGATGGCGACAGGGAACTCTGGTCGACCCTGGAACGTCGCTAGTCGCTTCAGAGGGATGTTGAACTGTTCCGTGTGCGTGTCGGCCAGTAAGGTGCTGTCGACGAGCTGCTCGCCGCCAGGTGTCGCTCCCGTGCCCAGGTGGAAGCGCACCCACTTCGTCATGTCGATGATGTTCGTACAGATCGAGCCTGCAGCGCCACCTGGTGCTACGTTGCTGCAACACGAGCGCATGCGCGGAGCGTGATGGCGGTTTTTTTTTAGATGACGAAAATATTTTTTTACGTGATCGTGTTTTTTTTTTACGTAATGAAGGGTTTTAGAACTAGAAAGAAGATAGATAAACTAATATAATGATACAAATATCGAAAACACATCATTCAATCATATCTATTTGTCTGTCTGTCTGTCCGTCCATCCATCCGTTTGTCCGTCCGTTCGTCCGTCCGTCCTTCAGTCCGTCCGTCCGTCAGTCCGTCCATCCGTTCGTCCGTCCGTCTGTCTGTCTGTCTGTCCATCCGTCCGCCCATCCGTCCGCCCGTCCGTCTCCCCGTTAGTCCGTTCGTCCGTCTGTCTGTCTGTCTGTCTGTCTGTCTATCTGTCCATCTCTCTATCACTTACAATAGCGCTTCTGGATCGATGGGTATGGTGGCGCCACCGCTGTGTATGTGCGGCATCGCGAACCCCTCCCAGCGATGTTCACTTGTATCGACGAACACCGCTGACGTCATGCGCAGAGGCCGGAAGATGCGTGAGCGCACGAGCTGCTCCCACGTGCTTCCTGTGTCGTCAATGGCTTCTGCGATGTATCCGGCGAGCATGTACATGTAGTTGTTGTAGATGTAGTGCGTGCGGAACGGATGGCTGGCCGGCAGGTGGCGCAACTTGCTGAAACCCAGGTGGCGCTGTAGTTTAGTACAGTTGTGTGTGTGTGTGTGTGTGTGTGTGTGTGTGTGTGTGTGTGTGTGTGT